TGAAATATCCTTTTGTGTAAATTTAATCTTAGTGCTGCCCATGTCTTAAGGCCTTAACTAAATAGAAATAATATGTTGCGCTATCTGTGAATAAAGATTCGCTGAAACAGAAATCTCGCTTTTTAACGATTGGTAGACCTACAAACGCACACAACTCTGCCGTAAGCTTGTTCAGAAAAGGGAAGAAAACTAGAATCCCTTTTTATAATACAGCAACAGATGATATGATTAAGGATGTTTATTGTTTTAGTAAAGGTGCTATAGGGCAGGCTGGATTTGCTGTTAGAAAGTATAAGAGTCATAGGACCTAATACAATTTTTTAAACATAGTTTATTGTTTTGAAATTTAGAACAATCGGATGTGTACACCATATTATCTATATTTACAATGTATTGTTACGTAAAAGAGATACACGCTCACCATAGTTTAACAAGCAATTGATTCTTTATTGATTAATAGTATCCGGCCAGATATAGCTATGAATAGCAACCAACGAACAATGGAAAATAATAAGAGAAGACCGAACTTATTTGCACTCTCTTTTATTCTATACTTTTATCGAATATTAACCAAGCCTTCAATCTTCATTGAACATACGCACTGGACACGGTAGAATCACCTAGTCAACTGCCGAGATAATATGAATACTATCATATAATCAATATTTGTAATTTGGTGTACCTCAGTTGGGGACCTGTCTCGGTTCTGGACTGAGACAACTGGGTTCCGGACTGAGTGGCTGGGTTCCGAACTGAGACAGGTCCCAAACTCAGACACAACATTACTACTCCAATCGAAATATAGTAGAACACTTTGAAGTAATGTGATATAAAGGTCTACGTTAATTATTACGCGGTACCTCAGAATAAAAAATTACGCAATTTGAAATAATATTAATAATAATTGGAAAAAGACATTGTTTTTCTGACACAACTGCACTCCAACTATTCAGGATTACATTAAAACGTGGCACAACAGTGAACAGCAACTTCTGTACCAAAATATCGAAAAAGAACATCATTTTTTTTGCTTTAAACAAATGTTTAACATTGTGAAACTAAATTTTTTTGACAATAGACTGATTTTATTATTGTGGCCTGATATATGGCCTGATGTATGGCTGTATGGCCTGATGTATGGCTGTATGGCTGATGATGTATGGCCTGATGTATGGCCTGATGTATGGCTGTATGGCTGATGATGTATGGCCTGATGTATGGCCTGATGTATGGCTGTATGGCCTGATGTATGGCTGTATGGCCTGATGTATGGCTGTATGGCCTGATGTATGGCCTGATGTATGGCCTGATGTATGGCCTGATGTATGGCCTGATGTATGGCCTGATGCCTGATGTATGGCCTGATGCCTGATGAATGGCCTGATTTTATTATGTGGCCCGTAACCAAATGAAGAAAATAATCGGCGAATATTTAAATATAGAAATGGCATGATTTGTTGTGTAATACAGCGACGTAGTTGACTGTCTTACCTGCTGATCGGAATGGGGCACGTGAACATTTTGTAACAAACAGCGTCAATGCTTGCAATAAACGATGTCTGTTCAAGGTTGGATATATTCGAGTGTAAAGTAGATTAGAATAGGGAGAGTCAAAGTTGGAGGCTGGGAATTCAAGTGGGGGCAGTCAATCCTGTCTATAGTCACACTCTTTTGTCGGAGGTGAAGATAAAATTGATCTAACTATGTGGAGAAGAATTTTTGTGATTGAAGGAGTCATGATTTTAATACCACAGATCCCGATTCCGACTTGTTCGCATGTATTGTGATCATTGTCATTAGAATAGCTAATTCCGACAGTCCATGCAGAATTTCTATGGCCGTCCAATTTATTCGGTGATACAAGATAACTCTAAAGTACGAAATCGCAGGCTTTGTTTATCAAGATCAATTTGTGCTCTGGCTAGCATCTGGGTCCTACAATTGGTTGAATCCGATTAGCATCTTAACAGGAAAAGTTACCTTCGATTGTAAATACCAATTTGGCTATTACTATATATATGAATGAATGATGTCTGCTCATTCTATGTATAACTAGTCACATTCTCTTCTTGCAATCCATTATTTATCACGCCAACAAGTTGATCCAAGTTACTTTCGCGGGTAATGCTACCTAAATACATGAAGCGATGAATCTGTGATTATGGCGCGCGCTTTGGGTGATACCAGGGGTAAGGATAAATAAATTATATTTTACGCATTAGTATAGCAATAGATGTTGTTCTAATTGATCTACACAATTAGATCATAGGATCATCGTCAGTCACCGAATGATGTAATATCGCAGATATTTATAGTCCAAACTAGGTCATATTTTCGATTTTTAAGTTGTAGCACAGTTGTCGGAATTTCAATTTATAATTGCCAAAATTCACATCAGATTAGGCTTAGAATATATTGCGTCTATTTATGATATTTCTGATTGGTGCATAAATAGAACTCTACCAACCTATTCAAAATCAAAACTCTCCATGTTGTTACAGCGGTTTGCAATAAAACGGGCTCACTATGTTATAATAAGTAATTGTAGTATTGTACTCGCAAAATTCAATGTGAACAACCATATATAGTAAAATAGGCTAGATTTTTGGTACAACTCATATGACATGTGTAATTCTCATCCACCATCAAATACAGTAATTAAGTACCAAGAGAGGTTATGGAATTCTTTTAATAGAATTCAAGCCTTGCGGGCTAATTATTATTGATTCATCTCTGCATATTGATATCTTAGACATCCATCCCACTACAAAAGATAGATAAAAAAAAAACATCTTACAGTTTTCTACTTCAATTAAGTATCACAAGATAAAAGAATTATACAAAATACTGAATATTGATATTATGATCACGTTGTTGTTGAGGCTGATGATGATGATGATGATGATTATTGATGGTGTTGTGTTGATGATGATGGCTAACTAGGCAATGTGACAAAGACAGTGAGTTGTAATATTAATAAGAATCTATAATGCGTTACATCTATTTACATTAGCCATACGAACCCCTTCCACGAAAATGCAGGTTCTTGGTCGTACCTATACCTACAAGTCTCACCATTTGTCATATTATTCAACCCTTCGCCCTCGCCAGCAAATAATGCAAATGTCCGAATGAATTTTCTAGCAAGTAATTGCCATCAATCATGTGAACATCGCTCTCGTGAGGAGCACAACATACTATCGGATAATTATATGCCCGGGAAACAGATGGAAAATAATAATAATAATAAAGAACCAATGTTTCAAAAATCATTAGTAAAGATTATTCTTTATAGATTATCATTCAACTTGCAGACATGTTTAATTTCATTGGCAAACGATCGGCGATCACAAGTCCGAAATGTTTGCATATATCTCAAAAGACGAGATGCTGAAGGCAATAATGTTTATTGATGATAATGTTTAAGTGTAGATGGACACATGATTACTATGCTAAAAGAGTTCAGGGGTCAAGCTAACCCGGAATTCAAGCAAGTGCACCCCTGATTTCATTGAGTCTTCAGGGGGTATAATTTTTGGTATTTGACGTTGTAAAGGATTCGCTGTAAATTAATTATGCGATAATTAAACCTTACCGCAATGTTGAAACTACTGTATCCATATATCACAGTCGTTCAAGCGGAATAACATCATTACTAGCTGCAGCATTAGCAACAAGAAAGACTTTGGGGTAAGCGACACGGATTTTTCACAGCATTATTAGACGAAGTTTTCAAATGGCTGAGCAAATAGCGGAATCTCGCAATTAACATTTCGTGAATACCAGAGCAATTGTGCATGTCTTTAGAAGATTATATCGGACGCGTTATCGACGTTCATTGATTATCGAATCTTTGTTAACATCAACTCCTCACTACTCACGCGTTGACAGAATAATTGTGAATAAACGCCAGTCTTGCCAAAAAGATGAGATAACGAATCACCAACTTTAAGTTAAGGCAAATGTATATTCTCGTCTTTAACATGTTATTACGAGAGAATTTATCGTAGTTCAAAAAGAAAACTATTCGCTATCCAAGATTTGGAAATAAAGAACAAATTAGTAAATTTGACAGACAATCAATTCGATATACAGTCTTGACAGCTTTTAGGAGCATTGGTTGTATTGCAATCGAATAAACATTCCATGTTTGAACATCGAAACCTCGAAACCTCAATGTTTGAACAGACTATACAAATCTTGAAATGATGAGAATGTGGATTGAAACAGCGAGTAAGCATTCAATTCAATCCTTGAGATTTAGTGAATTTTGCATGCAACGCTATGTAATGTTGTTACGAAACGAAGAGTGCACATAAAGTGTTTGTCGTTACTATTATTTCTACCGTGAAAAACTTGGTGATTTGTTGGTTTCAGGTCTGCGTACCACAAAAGTAAATATGGTCGTGCTACCCCGAGACATAGTCAGGGTAACTCGGTTTCTATTGCAAGATCCTATCATGGCTATGCAAGTTGATATTTCTAGCTGGCCCATTTACAAAATGGGGGGGTTATCCCCTTCACATGTGTCGAGCATTGTGGAAAAAAAAAAAGCTAAAATATTAGGTGATACAACATAAACTTTGTCATCATACGAGGCGGAGACCCCCACTCGTTAAGTGTTTGGGCGTTTTTTTTTTTTGACATTTTTGACGATGACTCATACGATAAATATAATAGTAATAAACAGGTTTTCAAAATAGGTTCGTCAATCTCGTTATTCATTCGGGCCAATGACGTTAAAGTGGCGCACCATAATATATTGGTATTGTATATTTAAACTATTATTAAATTATTATGCAGGAGTAACGTCATACCCCTTAATGTTAAACATATTATTACATGGGATTAATATATATAACATACATATATATATATATATATATCCAACATCGAAAACCTCCAACGAAGACGTCTCGCGCAACACTGTTCATTGTTAGCAAAACTTCTTATATCTTTTCAAATTCAATTGTTTTCTCTCCTCCCCGCTCTTAATCGACATGGCTCCAGTTCCGACTTCCGTAATACGCGCTGTTCCTCGCGAAGCACTTACGAAACTATCAATCCAGCGTCCTACTCGCGTTTCTCTCTCTCATCTATATACTATAGGTCGTCATGTATTGGATTCTTCCTCCCAAGGAAGATATCTTATCCCAGCTCAATTTCTCCATGCTGAATTACCCATACGTCTATCTCAAACACTCAAAATACTTCAATCACCTTTGGTGCCTCAGGCATTCACCTCTCTGCCTACTTTTAAGAAATTCACTCAGCAATACCATGACTACATTAGCATTCTTATGAGTACATCTAAGCCTGACAATAAAACAAAAGAAGAAGAATTCACCAACGTTTTAAGGCTATTAAAGAAAGAACACAGAAAGAATTTATTATCATTAAGACAAGCATTTAGAGAAATTGTAGACATGAACGGGATAGAAAAGATCAAACATTTAGACATAGAAGAAACAAGAGAACTTTGGGATAGTTTCTATACCATGACTCTGGGAACAAGATTACTTATGGCCCAACATCTAGCTTTACATGACGAGAAGAACTTGGTTACGAGGATCTCACCGAAAGATGTGACCGAGCGAGCGCTTAGAGATGCTAAAATTTATTGCGAACAACGATACAAGTAAGTATAGCAGACATGCAAATTTGCACACGTTGCTCAGACTAACAGTGAAGGAACGTTAAATAGACAGTGTCCGAATCAACGCGTATTCATATGTTTGTTAATATGTGTCTAATCGACCAACTTTTTGTTTGTATAAATCATAGCCGTCCAGCACCCGAAATTGAATTAATTGCGACAGACCCGACTGTAACAACAACTCACATCGAAGAGCACCTTCACAGCATTCTCTACGAACTGCTCAAGAAATCGATTCGCACTACAATGCAACACCAGGCTCCACATTCCTCTCTTCCTGATCCATCATCTTCTATATCTTCTCAACCTCGCCGGTCACTCTTTTCTTCCTTTATATCTTCGTTGGCTCCCCACCAATCGCTAAACCCAACTGCTAGCGTTCCGCCAATATCAATACTAATAGCCCAGGGTGCACAGGATATAACAATAAAAATATCCGATCGCGGAGGTGGTATGCCAATGTCAGCAATGAATGATTCATGGAGTTACTTTGTATGTGATGAAGCCGAGGAGGCGGATGGACAAGAGAAAGAACATGCATTTGGTAGTGGTGTTGGCATGAGTTTGCCGGTTGCTAGAGTTATTGCACGATGTAAGTATATCGAAATTGATGGGTAAGGGGATGAGCGAGATTTCGACTAGAGTGTTGACTAATAATTTGTTTGACCTTGCTGATTAGATTTTGGTGGTGATCTTTCGTTTGTGTCAATGGAGGGTCATGGTACAGACACATTCCTCTCCCTCTACCGTGATGATACACATTTAGAAGCGTTTCCCGAACTACAATCGTCTTTGGACAATCCTTTATCTTTCATTAACTGACGGATAATTACAAAACATGGACTCTTTATAATATGCGATATTAACTTTCAAAATTAATTAATTTCTTTGTATATTCTTTTATTTTGTAATTTGTGTAATTTTAGCACTTTGCGAGCTACAATAAATTAAGCCTTTCCAACATTCTTGGGGGAAATGGATCTGTATTTTGGACAATATACTACCAGTTTTTTGCAAAAAGAGGTTGTTACGTCCCATTCAGTATCAACATGCGGCAAAAATTTATTGCTTGAAATAGATAAGATGTACCAACAATAATTGGTTTTAGAACAATGGTCCTGTCGATGATTATACATCAAGTTGTTTGCTACATCAATGGAATTATGTCGGGGATTAATAGCTGTCGAATTTGATTTGTGAAGAAGTAGCAATATGAATACAACTTTTTTAGTAATTATTCATAAAGAAGCAGACAATGTGAATGATAGACCTGGTTGCATATGAACAACATATTTATTAAAAGAAACCATTTCATGATAGATCAGCTTAATGACTTCTACATTATCAACAAGTTGGGACTCAACTTCATCGGCAATCTCCGAACACTACGCTACATCATCACAGTCTCGCTCCAACTTCCACCGTTTGTTCCCAAGCAAAGCAAACAACACAACACAACCTGATTGTGATCTGATGACTACTCAATAGAATTCTACCAAGTTTACATCTGTACATGTGACAGTCATATTGCTTTTTGTGTCTATATTTGTCACAAGTAAATACAGGTTCTTTTTGGGATTCTGGACAGGTTCTCATGCAAGATGTAAACAAGATGTGGCGCTTTTGATAATCTTATCAAAGCAGTTACGAATGACGCACTTTTGTGATCACACTGTACACATTATAATGGGGGCGTTCTGAGACAAGGTAAACGTGCACCATTCAGGGATTTTGGACAAAGAAGTGGGGAGCAATAATAACAAATAGCTTTATTAGCTATAATTGTTTTTTTCCTGATTGTATGTGCAGGCCCAATATTCTAGAATTTGTTATGACTATCGCTATTGACGATGGCGTGATCTCGATATAGTAATTCTAATTATTTGCAGTTCCGTATATGGCAACTAATTTATACAAGTCAAATTTGTACTCGAAAAAACCTGTTGGAAAGTATTACTTGACCTTGTTATTATGATTAATCCGGGCATGTCTTAGGAAGAGTTGAATGATCTCTAAATATATACTTGGGCGGTGTCTATATCAATATGGAAATTTTTATGGCTTTGCAAACAAACGTCCCCAATCGTGAGATTAGTAAACAGAAATGGACAAACCCCTAACATAACCGTTTAAGCATATTTAACTTGGAAATTGTTTACCGCATGATATTAATATATACAATCGACCATAATAATAATAACAGTAATTAAAAGTAAACATTGTAATAGTGCTGTATACAACTAGACTACAGACCAGTATTGGGCAAATTGTACTTAGTCACAGTAAATTTTGACTTTACTGATGGCATCAAAGAAGTGATCATCCAACCACGACTTATACATGTGGGAGCTCGGCTGAAGCTGAAACTAACCAATGGGATTAGAGAATAGAATCTGATCAACCAATGAAAGATCATGGTTTCAGCTTCGGCCGGATTTCAGCATCAGCTCCCACAATTATTAACATGTCATATTGTGCTTTTAAAAACAATTCCCGTAGAAACTAATTGATTGTTATCTCGTTTATATCATTCTTGAATTTGTTGTGTCCACCAGGATGCTTTTGAGTAAGTTTCGGGAGATTGATAAATGTTTGTACGATAACAAAGGCCATTGAAACGATTAAGAAAAAACGACAAACACGACAACAGAAAGAAGCAAGAGTAACACCGTTTTTATTACAACAAGAGATTTTGTATTACTTCGAACATTTACTTTAATTAGTTACGCTTTAATGATTCAAACATTGAATAAAAAGATATGCAACGACTATAGGTTTGTAAATAACAAAGATATTCTTCTTAGATTGAGACAAAGAGGTAGGACTTTACTGCTATGACGGCGATTATTTTATTACTAATTTTAGCAAGGTTCGTTGTAAGCAATTAAGGTTTATACAATGATAGCACGGAAGTTTATAAAACGATATTTGTTATTCAACATTATGAATTGTGTTTTGTGCGATTCCATTTGTTTCGTCATTAGATACGTGCTGCTTATACCAAATGCGCGTTTTACGTAATGGAGAGCGATCTTCCACTATAGCCTATTGAGAGTGCGGATCGAAGCTACGCAACGGTTTCCATAGCGTCGAAATATGCGGGTTGGAAATCGGGACAAAAAAAAATCATGTATCCGACAATGTATTCAGTCGCGTGTCGTCATTCAAGCTTATGTAATGATAATAGCCTACGGATCGATTGCAAATTGAGCGTTTCTGGTCACTTAGATATAAATGCCATTTTTAAATGACCCAGAAGTTAAAATACTCTGCTGTTGTTGATTGTCTAGTCCAAGGAATTCGGAGACGTAAAGAGTAACTTGAAAACCAAGTTATTTACCAGTGTTGAAACCCATATATACAGTATTCATAATCGGCACAAGAGCATTGTGTGTAATATCTGTAAGTGTATATCCGTTCGGAACAGCGACTGGATTGCTTTGACCATCGAAGAAATATATTTGTGCAATATTAAGGTTTACATTTTCAACCGCGAGATGTAGGTTGGTCCCCCCTCCTTCGTATATTGAAACGTAATAACCGGTTTTGAATCTATTAATGTTTTTATCGGATTCTGTTATATCAATTCGTTCACAGTCTTCATACAGATATAAAATTCTCTCCCTTAAATCGCCGTTTTCTGCTGGGTGTTAACGTCAACGATATACTATTATTCTTATAGGAAAAAGAGCCCTTATACATTTCTTCAGATGCAGTAGCAGCAAAAGGCTTCCTCATTGTGAAACCGTCGTATGTGCGTAATATGGACGTTCTTCGTTGTGGCAAACCGTTGGAACAGCCCTTGTGATTGGGGATGACGTGGACGACCATTTATGATCACTCGGGAAACTTTTGGGAGCTGGCAATTTCGCATATTATTCGTGCGTGGGCGACTGGATTGTTTGACCATCGATGAAATATATTCTTGCAACATTAAGGTTTACATTTTCAACCATCAGAAGGGAAAATATACAAGGTGGTACGCTCATTTTCTGGGAGCATCAACGATATATATATGATTATCCTTGTAGGAAAAAGAGCCCTTATACATTTCTTCAGATAGTTTTTTGATGTAGTAGCAGCAAAAGGCGTTCTTCGTCTGTCGTATGTGCGTAATATGGACGTTCTTCGTTGTGGCAAACCGTCGTATGTGCGTAATATGAAGTAGCAGCAGCAAAAGGCTTGTTCGTTGTATATTAAATTTGCGCTTTGGAGGAGGAGAGAGATTGTTGTGAAGCGATACATGCAGAGGAGCGACAGGGTATATATATGTATGAGTGGACGCGTGATTCGCGTGTTAATGACGTATAAATATTGTCGTGATTTATGCAGCAAGAAGTGCGAGAGTCAGCCACAACGATCACTGTCAAACAATGACGGCGCTTATTTTTGGAAGTCACAATTTCGTGCGTGTAATACAAATCACAAGTTTGCGGGAGGTGCTTATTAGTGACATCATAACTTATAATAAATTAATTGAAGGATTGTGTTGTAGGTGCTTATTTTTGGAGGTAAAATTTTTGGGGAGATGCTTATTTTCGGAACTATACGGTATTATTATGTCTTCAAGTCTAAATTGAGACTGTTATTGTTATCTAATTATACGATGGTTTCTGTATTAATATGTCTTATCGTAATCATGCATAACAAAAGATATTCATTGTTTATTGTTAACTTAGTATCCTCGCCTGTCACGCAGGAGACTGGGTTTCAGTTCAATTCCCCGCTCGAGAGCTTCTCCGAGTACACTCATAGATCTGAATCATTGGTAGATTGGAATCGATATCCTCTGATTGATCACTGAACAAATGCTGAAGATTGCTAAATAGAGGAGTGGCTTGGCCAACGTTTAAAAGATAAGTCTATTAATCTAGAAATAGAAAGAGCGTGCGTAAATACCGTATTCTCTCGTGAATAAGCACAATGATATGGTAAATTCGAAATATATATCTAGCTCAATTTAGAGGGCCAACGCCTTGGACAAATCATCTATCGCAATCTAATTCAAGACCACGCTCATCCCTTTACGGACAGAGCATTTCCAATCGTCATCCAGTTTGGACAGTGTGTTTTGTTTGGAGGGTGACGTATTATGTAATCCTGTATCGATAAATATATACCACAATACACGAAAAGGGGTGTTTATTTTCGGAACTATACGGTAACAATAGTCAATTTAGAATAGAAAACGTAAATATTGCTATTATAATCAGTATCTGTACACATTGTTGTGATTAGAGCTCTAGTTGTGATATCCGACCCGACCGCCCCTTATTTGTAAAGGTATATATATATATACGTAGTGAAAGTGGACCGTCAATAATTAAACCGCTGGTCCCGAATAGTCCGTTATATCGACTTTCACTGTCCTATACCTCAGACCTTAAACAACAAACTTGCTCTATTTACACCCTATCAAGACACACTCCACCAAGACACGCTCCTTGCCTTGTTAGTGCAAGTACACCTTTAGTGTTCAATCGTAGGTGTAAAATAAACTCTAAGACACATATCGGTGTAAGTAGTATGATTATGAATAAATTTATTAATAGTTAATGTACTAATTTTTACTACATATAATTTAACCAAATAAAGAAAATGGAACTAGTAGTAGTAGCGGCAGTAGTAGCGGCAATATTAATGCAAGCGCTGGCGTGTTAATGACTACAATAACACAATTAATTAGAAAAGAAGTCAGTGATGGAAATAAACCGATCGAAACTGTAAGCGATTACAAAGTTATATGATCATTCCCTAATATACAGGGGGGTATCAAAAGTATTGCAGGGTCGAAATTTAACTGATTTAATAAAATTATTAATATGGAACTGCCCATGTGATTCTTATACCCATATTTGCCTATATATTACTTAAATGGATTGTTGTTTATTGTTTTGATTGAATCTTTTACGGATCGTAAAAAACGCGATTTAAAATTTTCTATCGTTTTCAATTTTTCGCGCAATGGGTCTTGGTAAAGAATTAACTTCTGCACAAAAGGAAAGCATTATTGCAGCAAAAAAATCAGGCCACAATAATACAGAAATTGCAAAAGTTGTAGGATGTCATCGAACGACAATTACAAGATATCTTGCAGCTTACGAATCAGGAGAACCTTCCAAGAAACGATCAGGTCAACCATGCTTGATCGACAGTCAAAAAAGGCAAAGACTGAAGGCTATTACTATGCAATCTATGCGGCAGACAACATTTGACGACAGTAAAATAGATTTCATATAATTCTGTGACGATAGAGTATTGTGCATACAAATTTATTCATTCGTATTAATGTAACATGCTTAGTCAGTGACGGGTCTACTTACATTGAGAAATGAAGTAAAAGCTATGTTTATAGAGTGGAAAGTAAACACATATTTAACATTAATGGACAAACGTTTTCTGGATTTTTATTTAATTCGTGATATTGTTTCTGATTTCCAAGGATTTGGCAGTGAATTAGTTTCTTTTTCAGTCACTAAATTTCCTTGGGGATTCAAGCAACTACAATCAAGATGAATGGGAACTATATGCGAACATGAATCCTTTCCAGCAGAATTTATGTCCATAAAAAAGTTTGTAGTGGTGAGTGAGATTTTGACGCTTATATTTTTGTTTCGATTTCTGCGAAATGTCGTAGATGCTACACATGGATTCAGATCAAAAACGGGGGAAGGTATAAGTCAAGGCGTCTGAAGGCATTTCCTTTCCAGTGAACAAAAATAGCATATGAGTGTTCAACTCTCTATTACTATATAGATATAAAAAACAACCCCCCCCTTTTTTTTTGCTATCGATCACAACTAACCAGACAAAGTCCAAATAAAGTGAATGATACACAGAAAAGGTCAAAAACGGTACACTAAATTGCATACTAATAAAATATATCCGATATAAGAAAGTTACATTCGATAAAAGAAAATTATAAGAAATGTTGCGCTCGATATAAGAGCGAGTCAATAATAACAAAGCTATAGCTCATTCATATTCCTGACGGAATTTGTTAGAAATAGATCCCACATAATGCAATCCTGAAAAAACGACGTGGTTCGGATGGATATTGTAAGCTGTTCTGGAGGACTATTTCCAAGGCATTCAATAGCATAATCATATTAACAAAATGACTAAAGTTTTGTGCATATGTATTACAAAATGAAATAAGAAATGTTTAACGAATTTTACTTGTATTGATTTAGTTGGTGTAGCTGGCAGTTAGCACACGTAGTAAATTTGGTAGAAATTGGCACTTCGAAAAGATATATAAGAAGCACGACTTTCCGATAGAATTAATCATGTTCCTTAGTGTTATGTGTTACATTATGTTATGTTCTTAATATGTTCATATTCCTTTAATGTTCAATTAATATTCCTTTCTTATAATAAACGAATCGTTCTTTATACTAGGAAATACGTTATTAAGGATTATCAACGCGTCGAACCCCGGAACGATTTATTGGAATTAATCCCGCCATTTTATAATCGATCAGCGACGTGTTTATCGAGAATTAGCGTCTGTCGGACGAGTATTTAGACTCCGAGATAGGAAAAGCCTCCGGTGAAGATCACTAACTTTTATTATATTTAACTGAGCGAATAGGAGTAGCCACACCTCCGTGGAAAGGCAGTTAAATCCAAAGTGTCAATAGTTATCCGCTCTCCCGTGACCGTCGGCACGACAGCGCGATTATCATTTTTGTGAAGCTCTGTCGGCACGTAATTTAATTGATTGCATATTTCGTGGTAAGCATATATGATACAGTATGGGTGCACATTAATGGTGTAAACAAGATACTCATCATGCACATTATGCTTAGAAACAACACCTTGAGCAAGAAGAAATAATATATCCAATGATCAACTATTATATATATTTATTATTTATTACACTCATCTATTGCTATATTGTAAAAAACAGCTTTAGCGTATCCACGTAGCTGTGCCAATAAAGGATACACCATTCTATTGCTATATTGTAAGCTTCATCAACCTTATCCAATGCACTCTTGTCCTTTTCTAATTGTATAAGAATAACATCCAAGGACAGATCCTTAGTTTTTGTATCTTCAGTTACTTGATATCCATTCTCTTGACCTCCTTTTGCTATCTGTGTGATAAGAGAGAAAACATTCTGTCTAACACCATTTTCAAGAACGGATTTGTAGTAGTGACAAAACAACACTTATGATATACTTGACCAATAGAAGATCGTTTTTTGCATTCTGGAAAGATATCAACACCGGCATATCTAATATGGCTGATATGTTTACTACTGAATCCTAGTGACACCGTCACTGAGATAGAGATGAGCATGATATTATACAACTCGCGTTTTTTGATTTGGTAGCACAAACTGATCCTTCAAATCCAACCAATCAGGACAGCACTTCCACGCAAGAGCGTGCGCAATCCAAAATCGAAAATCGTCTTTCCACAAATCACCCATCCAGAAACCGTTTCGCTGTATCATTAACACATAACTCTTAATTAGAACATGACTGACAGATACAGGTATATATCAACCATTTGAACAGGATGAATATTGTGCACACATTAGTATGATCGGTATATAGTACGTAATCAAAGCGCGCTAACGTTATTATTTTGGATCTATTCATTAGCTTCTCGTTAACAACTTTCTCACCATCAGGAAAACTTGTCCAGATCGAATATGCCCTCAAGGCAGTAGCTCAGGGAGTTACAAGCATAGGGATAAAAGGTTAACAAATGTTGTTTTCTCCGTAATAATCGATAACGATACTCAATTAACCACACATTCTTGTTACATTTCTTTCTCACTACTGTCGAAATGCATTGTCGTTCTCTCTAATCTAACTGTGCGGTCTTTTTGTTTGTCAATTTTAGCCACTAATGGCGTTGTTATCGCAACAGAGAAAAAATCGGCTTCTTCTCTAATTGACGATAGTTCTCTGGAGAAGGTGGCTGTCGTGTGTCCAAACATTGGCATGGTCTATTCGGGCATGGGTCCTGATTTTCGGGTGCTCACCACCAAAGCACGCAAGGCTGCTCAAAAGTACAAAAGAATTTATGATGAGTATCCGCCTACTGGGATTTTGGTCAAGGAGGTTGCTAGTGTCATGCAAGAGTTTACACAGAGTGGGTGAGTATGGTTTGGACTTGGGAGAAATTAGTTGATTGCGTGGAGAATAATAACAAATCGGTGAAACTAGATGAGAGAGGAGGACATGATGAGCAGGTGCAACATTTTGAGATACATGGTCTTCGATGCTTATTGATATACTTTTGCTGCTCTAGTGGTGTTCGTCCATTTGGTGTATCGTTATTGGTCTGTGGGTACGATGAGAAGGGTCCTGGGTTGTACCAAGTGGATCCATCAGGATCATATTGGGCATGGAAGGCATCCGCAATTGGGAAGAACATGGTTAATGCAAAGACGTTTCTTGAAAAGCGGTGAGTTACATTGATAATGCGCATTTGTTACCGAAGACCATCAAGTTTGTTCTGACCTTTTAACACGACTTTATCAATTTATACTTATCTAACCGCAAATTGCATGTCCTTAATAATTTAAAAGTTATAACGATGACATGGAACTTGAGGATGCAGTACATACAGCCATTATTACTCTAAAGGAAGGATTTGAGGGTGAAATGAATGAACACTCGATCGAAATTGGAGTAATCGGAGGAGGAAATTTCGGGTTTGGTCCGGGGAAAGAAGAACCAGTCTTCAAAAAGTTGACACCAGAGGAAATTAAAGATTATTTGGCCAATATTGTATAGATACATGAATGTTCTGACGTAGGATGGGAAGTGAGGAGGTAGTTCAGGAGGCTACTAATAGCACAATCTACAAGAGAATGGCTTTGATATTTATATTGTACAAGATACTGAAAAAAATTGATAAAAATAAGAGCTTCGAAAGAATCTCAATTACCAGAAGAGTATCCGCAGAGGGTAAAAAATCGAGAAAGAATTTCTACACTTGTTTATAACTTTTTACTTTTTTTGTTCGCAATTCCTTTTCTATCACTAGTAATATTGCAAGGTATATAAGCCATCTCATTGTCTATCCTTAAGTGATTGTTCATCGTTGGATTGGATCTGAGACTGTGCGGGTTGTTCTATATTATCGTACTCCTGTCCTTGTCTAGATACTGACCGATATATAGACAATGCCTAAATAGCGTAAATATGTGATTTAGTATACAGTTTCAATCTCAAAGGTATCCGAAATCGCACATATGTGTTCTCTCTCGCTAGTTTACCTGGGCAATCATAGATCCAGCATCATTAACACCAGCAGGAACGATAACAGAGTTTCCTGTTTTGGCTAGTTGCCCAAACGCTTCGACGTATTTCTCGGCAATAGTCAATGTAACTGCGTCAGGACCCCCCGGTGTCTCGCGGATAGCACGCGCAATACGACGTATGCTTTCGGCCGTTGCTTGTGCACGAAGTAGCATGGCCTCCGCTTCACCTGACGTGTATGAGCAGTGGATAGAAGAAAGGGATCGACAAATTGAATATAAATATTTTAGTAAATTATCCTAAACTTTCAAATCTTTTTCACATTCTACTCGACGCTTACCCGATGCTTTGTTGATTTGCTCTGCCTGAACTGCTTCAGAGGCTAATATTACGGATTGCTTAGTACCTTCAGCCACATTTATTGCTCCTTGACGCGTACCTATAGATTGCAAGAAATTGAAAATATCGTTTTTAGATGTTTCGTAAACCGTTGCTAGTATACATAAAAAGCGATGGACTCGATAGGACATTATTATAACATACCTTCGGATTCGAGAATTGATGCTCGCTTCGATCGTTCAGCTGACACTTGTTGGTGCATAGACTCTACTACTTTCACTGGCGGATGTATATCACCTATGAATTGAGCAGATAGGATCAATTATTACAATCATAATCCAAACAATCGGTAACGGCATCATTATCGTTCAATCCTTGACTTACGAATTTCATATCTCAAACATCGAATTCCCCAAGCATCGGCTGCGCTATTAATTGCTTCAACAATATTGGCGTTTAGAGTAGAACGCTCGGCCAGCGTCCGATCGAGTGTCATGTGACCGATCTCTGCTCGCATTGTAGTCTGTGCTAATTGAGCAACAGCATATTCCGCGTCCTCAACACCATAAGAAGCCTATTCAATAAATAGAGCATAATGTGCTTCAGTTAAGTTAACGATAAGATAGAGACGCGATTGATCCAGCAAATAACTCATCTAACCTTGTATGGATCGACCACTTTAATGTACAAAACGCCGTCTAGTTCAAGAGCCACGTTATCTACACGAAAAATCGATCATCAACCCACAGCCATTCTTAATTGTAATCTCATCACTAGAAAATATGCTTGTGGGACAACCTTGTGTAATTGCACTCTGGGCAGGAATATTCATGCAAATCTCCTTCAAACTTTTAACATACTTGATTTTCTCCACAATTGGTATGACTATCGCAAGGCCTGGTTCTAGAAGACGATCAAACTAAAATCGTGGTAAATTATGCGTATAGGCAGATACAATAAGACGGATCATTGACAAGTTGTGAACTTGGTACCTTCCCAAATCGCTCGACTATCCACGCTTCTTGTTGAGGTACAAAGTTTATAAACTATAAGTAGATCCAAAAATGTTGAGTGCATCAAACGTCAATGCCTAACTCCCCCACACTAAAATGATTTTCTCTCTCACGGGCGTACCGTGTTACGAGGTAGTCTTGTCTGGGATCGGAGCTCTCCTAGTAATAGCTGATCTCCACTCTGTCCTGGTCCATATTGATAGTATGATTTCTGATCAATAGTTGGACGAAACGGTGACTAGAGTAGAGTAGGCAAGGGTGTGAGGACTATTGCGTAGCTCAAGGAGAAATGAGCAACCATACAAGGGGTACCAATAAGGAGGCGCGTCGTGTAGTGAGGAGCGTAGATGCATGGGACGTGAATAGCGGATTGAGCATCGGGCGTAATGTTCTGCGCATCGCCATTATATTTGTTTCTCGCCTCGAGAAGAACTGATTAAATTATCGACAAGTGTGAAATTTTGTAATTTTTAGTGGAACAGATCACAATCGTGCACGTGGATCAAAACTTCGTCAACACAACGTTTTCAAAAAACAGACGTACATGGGTTTCGAAGCGAATTTCACAGACGTATTCCCCGCACACAGGCTGACCGTCTCCCCACCGGCCATTCCGGCCCTTATCTCTTTCAGGTGATACCCCTTTGTCTCAGCGGAATCGCTCGTTACCGACCGGAATCCCTCTGCGCTGGTTATCCAGGACAATTGTCTTTCAATGATGCCGAATGAGAATGAGGACGATGAAATGAATATAGACTGGAGGGACGTAACCTTTGACGATTTAGACGAATCCTCTTCAACGATGCCGAACGAAAATGAAAAAGCTAATGATGAGGACGACGACATGGATATAAACTAGACTGAGACTACTTTTGACAATTTTGGCGAATCCTCTTCAACGATGCCGCTCTCGATGCGCAAGGTGTTGTTGGACATAAACTGGGATGACACTGCCTTTGACAATTCTGACTTTAGTACTGGATCCTCTCCATTAATGCCGAATGAAATGGATGTCGAATTTGAAGTAGATAATAAGAAAAGTCAGGCGGCGCAGTTTTAACAGCATGCATAAGGGCTAAAATGCTGCAACAACACAAATGATTTATGACCATTAAAGCAATTGATAGAGACATGGGAAATAGATGGAAATGCAATCAAAGATAAAAATTCTGACGATTTACCTGGGGTTTGCTATTCTCACTCTGAGAATAGCTATATTCATTACCATATCTGCCTTTTCTGTAATAAGTTAAAATGTTTTTCCAGCCATGGAAAATATTGTCAGTAGCAATGAACCATTATATATTGCATGTGATCAAGCAATTTTGCAAGGTTAATTTCTTATATGGAAGAACACACAAATGTCCAGATTTTATTGGGACAATGGCACACATCAAAAGGCATGTGCAGTGCATTAATCAAAACATTTTCAGGATATGGAATATTTAACCTTGCAAAAGTCCTTGGTGTAAAATTCATGGATAAATTTGAGCAAGTTGTAGACTATCAAGTCACATGTCATGTCTTGGAATTAATCTGGATTGCTGTTGGGATTTGTGGGTCACAAAATCGGAATAAGAAAAGAAATGCAAATGGCAAACCTTGCTGCATTTTGTTGCCTTGACTTTACTAGTCAAAGACCAGCAAAGTCAAGGCATCACTAGTCAAAGACCAGTAAAGTCAAGGCGTTACTAGTCAAAGACCAGCAAAGTCAAGGCATCACTAGTCAAAGACCAGTAAAGTCAAGGCGTTACTAGTCAAAGACCAGCAAAGTCAAGGCATCACTTGGATTTTATGTACTGCGGAATCAGAGATGTTTGTACAACTGATGCAACTTCTATAGCACATTTTCTGGCACAAGTACAAGACAATCAAAATAGTATGTTCAGTAAATCTTGCAAGCAAGGGCCATTATTTGGGTTTTGATGAAGCACTTGAAAGTAAAGGTGTAACATTTGTCAGACAAAACATCACTGGAAATCTCACAGATCAAGCAACAGTGATGTCAAAGATTAAGGCAGTTCAAAGTGAGAGAGATCATTTATCAATGCTGCTTACCACATACACTGGTAGTATTGTAGCAGAGCAGAATTATCAGAATAGGACTAAGTCACGCAGAGATGCACTTTGGTCTCTGGTTGAGCAACTGTCATCTGCATTTAGGCACCCAAATCCTGAGGCATATGGTTTATTTGAAGATGTGCCAGAAAAGGCATAGAGAACATTCTTTCATTTTACGACGTTGGTAAACAACGTTTCCAGAAACTGCTTGTGCAAGTCGTATATAAAACTGAGAAACGGGTATCCACTGGTCGCCGTGCAAGAAACGTGACTTGTTATAAATTCGCTCAACTTGAGGAGATGAAAAAGCGAGGGAGTGGTCAACCGCGAATACTAATACTAATACATCGTCAAATGACAGTCAACGACATACTTCACCGGAGCTATCCATGATAAAGCAGACACGTCGCATAGCCTCCCTCGGCATATCAAAGGCGACATAACAAAACTTCGTAACTTACTTAAAAAACCATAATCTCAAATCAATAATAATAGAAGAGGAGGAGTTAACTTATCCGATGTGATTATAAAATATAACGCGGATGGTACCACCACCACCTCGAAGAAAAAACCCAGGAAGTGGTATTAGGACTTTCAGGCTGGGATACAAATAGAATTAAACAATATTTAAGAAACAGGCCAAAAAATTTTTTCGAGATGATATTTGCTTATTACTATTATTTATTTATTTATTATTATGCTTGATATATTGAATATTTACTAATCTTAATTCAGTTGCCACCAAACTGCCATTCTTTATAAAGTTCTCCACATTAATAAAAATATTAATATTGTAACACGTTATTATTATTATTATTATCCCATGATCTTTCGTTTTCATACTAATAATGATGCTATCTACTTTCACTTTATAGGTTTGCACTCATTCTGTTCCGACAAATGAATACGGGGATTTTAACAATAAATACTTGTTCGTCGATCCCCAGCCTGCCCAAACACTCTTCTTATTCTATCTACAACAACTGTTTGCAGAGTACTTACATATATGTATGCCGATGGAAACCATTGCACCACACACGTAATTCCTGTTCCAGTCAAAGCCGTTCAAACAAAAGATCAACGTTTGCCGAATCAAAGGCTCTTTCTAAAAGCTCTTAAGCTGATTGTCAGCACTGATGGGAGGCTTTAGAATTTTGTGCTGAATATTGTAATCAACCATTCTACGTGAGGCTAGTTTCATGCCTGATGATAATTGTAATCGGCTTGATCTGTTTGAGGCCGTGTTTGCTAAATACGTACGTAAAGCTACAGCCGAAGGAGATAATTCGCCTCACCACATTATTGCATAGAATACTGATCAAGATCTATGTCAAGAGGGGAATGGTGAAGAAGGCAACCAAATGTATTAGCTTCAGTTTTATTAAATTTGCTGGTATCAATTAATCAACTTTCTTTGCTTTGTTATATTTATTCTGACCTCTTACCATCTAGTTCATTGTCATCACACCAACCAACAGTTTCAAGCTCGACAAGTCTATCACCGCGTACTCAGAATTTAGTGCTATCATCGCCGCCAAAACAGAAGAATAATCAGTTAGCTTCGAGTGATCCCATACCTTCAATTCCAGCTAAACGCAAATCAGGTGACAAAGGAACTGTATCAAGAACAACTTGAAGCAAACAGGAATCTTATCTAACAATGGAATTTCAGACCAAATCATTATCGTGGCGAAGTTCACAATATTCTTCGTCAGCATCCAGTCCCAAGCCAGAAGCTATATCTCCAACGATATTTATCCATTGACGGTGATAACCGTTATGGTAACTCATATAAGAGAGATCGTCGTTCTTCTGCAGCTGACGATAAACCCACTCCTTCAAGTTCAGCTTCATCTTCCCATGAAGTAGAACCGAAACGAGAGCCGCATGATTCCTCCAATTTTGATACCACAATAGATATGAAAGTAGACGGAAAATTGATATCGGCGAAATCTTCACAGAAACTATACAAAGAGTTGTTAACAGAAGAAGAGAAGTGCGCAAACCATATTGCATCAGAACAAAAGCGTTGCAATACAATTCGTGCCGGTTTCAAAACTTACGGATATTATACCCACGCTGAAGAACGTCAACAATTCTGAATCAACCATTTTATTCAAAGCAGCTGACTATATCAAGTATCTAGGAACGCGCCGATTTTGTGATTGATGCAATAAGACGATTGAAATTGGGGCCAAATGGACAAACTGATCATACAACACAAGTAGAATTCATAAAAGCAACCAAAGAGAAGGAATTGTCGATTATTTCTTTATAATGAGTTAATTAAGGCAAGCTAATTGGTTGTGTTTTGCGTTGAAGTAGCTGTCTAACGATATCATAATGTCTCTCATGTACGTTCGAAGGGTTTAAGCATAGAATTTACTTCCGCGTGTTCAAAAAACCGATCAACCCTGCATAGTAATAACCCTGAAAATCGACGATCGACCATTCGAATATTAACTAACACGCGCCTAAACGTCACTCCTCAATTGATGGTTACACATTGTGAAAATTCAAATAAATTCTTTTGATAATCCGTGTAGTATATACATTTCACGCAAAGTACAGCCATGTCGCTCAAAGATAGAGTATTATTCATTACAGGAGCATCCAGGTGAACAACAATTGATAGTCAGAACCAGCATTAGTAAGAAAATAGAAGATTTTAATGTGTATGGATTATGTATAGGGGCATTGGACTAGCTATTGCTTTGCGTGCTGCTAAGGTAATATATGATGCATCGCAAACCTTGCTGTTAAAGCGCTTGTTGTTAATCTTGTTGGACTATGTTAGGACGGTGCCAAAATAGCAGTTGCCGCTAAGACGGTGGAACCCCTCCCAACGGTACGTATCATCTTATCGAGATGGTTGGTTAGCGTCCAGACTTTTACGATGATACTGGAAAATAATGAATTCGAGTCAATTCTACTTGATCTATCATAGCTTCCTGGAACAATTTATACTGCTGCCAAAGAGATTGAAAAAGCTGGAGGAAAAGGTTTTATCATCATTGTTAAACGATTATTCTTATTTCATCTAGAAACTTTCAATTCGTCTTTCACTAGATCGTTTAATTGATAAATATTGTTATTCGCTCTCTCGCAGCGCTTCCCCTTGTCTGCGATATCCGTGATGAAGAGGCCGTGAAAGCAGCAATTAACAAGACAGTGCAGACTTTTGGTGGGATTGATATTGTAGTTAATAATGGTAATCGAGTTTGATTGAATCAAAAGCGACTATATATTATTGTGCATCATGTGTTCGTACTCATGAACTAAACGTTTTTGTGTTTCTATAGCGTCAGCAATCTCTCTTACCGATACCGAAAGTACTCCACTGAAGAGGTACAATCTGATGAATGAAATCAATGCTCGTGGTACTTGGCTAGTTACAAAGGTTGTTAACCTAGGCTATCTTATGTTTCGTAACCCGTTTTATTGTATAAATTTCTCTTGTCCATATTGACATTCTCCGTTATGGTATCTAGTATGCGATACCTCATCTTATTGAAAGTGCACAGAAGAGTAGAAATCCACATGTGATGGCAATCAGTCCCCCATTATCAATGAAACAAAAATGGTAAAGTATCAATTGGACAAAATAACAAGGTGGACTTTGCGTGACGGGTGGGTTTCGGGTTCCGTTTGACTCAATCATTGGTTATCTCGTAATAGGTTTTCGCCTCATGTTGCCTATACTATGTCCAAATTCGGCATGTCTATGTCCATTCTTGGATGGTCAGGAGAACTCAAGCAGTATGGAATTGCTGCAAATGGTAATTACAGAGAATCCATAAATATACCCTATTTGATTAGTTGGTTGTTATTGTATATTTTAACGATTTTCTGATTGCAACTAGCGTTATGGCCTCTCACGGCAATCGACACTGCTGCATTGAACATACTTGGTAAATATAGATTAGCTTCTCAAATATAGATAAATTCGAGTTAAAACGTAAATTAGGTTTTTACTGATTATTTATTCTTCTCAAAGATAAATCAATTGCGTCCAAGGCACGCAAACCGGAGATCATGGCAGATGCTGCACACGTAGTGTTTATCCAAGATGCTCAAACGTACACGTAAGTTATTTGCATGAGAGCGTCTCGTGGTATAAGATGATATTAATGGAATATTTGCAAAAAATTATTATTAGGGGTAAATTTGATATAGACGAGCTTGTCCTTAGAGAAAATGGTCAAACAGAGTTTGATCATTATTCCAGTGTCCCAGGAACAACGGACCTTCTGCCTGATATCTTTATTGATGATGAGGTCTTTGAGAGAGTACGCCAATTGAAAATGCAGGCTGAACGTAGACGGAGTCCGAGATTATAACTAATGACTCGAATAGAAAACTCAATCGTCTATCGTATAGTGCACTCGCCAGTTCTATGATGAAGATAGGCAAGAGAGTTCCTCTTTCTTCATGACAGCATCAAAAGGAATAGTGTCTAATTTAAGTATACTGAATGTAGAGAGCATGTTAGATGGTGATAAGTACATCTATGTGAAATATATTATTTCATATGAATATAAAGTGATTGTGGCTCTAAAATTAGTATGTTGGCCCAACTTATAAATCATGACACAAACTCTAGCCGTCTTCAATTTGGACAGTTATTCATGCCTATCTTTCGTCTTAATTTTTCACACATATATCTTTTACAGAAAAAGCGGAAGGATGTCATATTGGATCGGAAGAATATATATAAGCTCCAAAACTTTTTAATACATGGAAAAAATGACATTTGCAATTAATAGACATACACTTCATTTTTATTTTTTTGTCTTTAAATAGTCAAAATTCCACGAATATTAATTTATACCTAAAATCGAACTATTCGACAACGTTCTCGACTGCGTCTCAGTGGCTTAGAACGTTCATCAATTGGGAACTATGATGTTATATTAACCCCTTACATGAGTCTAGTAATAGTACACTGTTTTATGATTTTCTGCCTTCATGTACCACTTTGATAAAGTTCTGTAAATCGCTCAACGAATATTCCAATTTAATATTGGAATCCGGATAACATCTATTAATTAAATCTATAAAGTGTTTATGGTTATCGATTACCACTTGACCAATAATCCCCCACACTACTCGCAAAAGCCCCTCTTCCTCTGTGAAATGCTTTTCGACACGTTTGTAAAGCTGTTCAAGACCTTTCTTGATCTATAGCAACGCAATTGATGGACCATGAGTATTTAAATGACAAAAACGCAATCTAAATGATGTAGATTACCTCTCTTGCAGTGTAATGTTCCGTAATTTTCTTTAATGATTCTTTACTGTATCTCATATGGAATCCGACTTCTTCGGGTGCTGATGTTTTCAGGAGGTTATCAATACCACCGAAGAATTCCTGTAAAGTGTATACGCAATGCAGCAGCGATTGTAAACATCAAATATCGTGTGTCTGTAAAATATTGAAATAGTGCATATGAGAGTTTGCGGCTTACTATTAGCTTGCTGAATGGCTTTTGGAGCACTTTTGTTGCATATGCCTCAAGATGCTTCTCGTATGAACTCTTTGCATACACCGTGTATGGATCAAGAACATGAATTTTACGCATTCGTATCTCATTGTGGAAATGGTGCATATTCTCTACACCATTGAGCAAAGTAAGCAACAAATAAACATTGTTATACTGAAAAAGAAAGTTAATAAGCAACGTGATCATACCAAGTATCATTATGTGAACGTTCAACTGTTCCTTGTCATCATTAATAGACGATACGTCTCTTGCAATAGCCTCAAGGTTGTCAAACATTGTCTTCACGAGAGTCTCGTATGCCCTGTTTACTATGTCGCGTATTTCAAGGCTTGCCACATCTGCTATAGAGTGCTCAATACGTTCACAGAATCTCTGTCGATCGGTAGAAAGTCGTTATGATTATACACAAAAAAATTTGTATGTTTTATGTGATGTAATCGTCATTACTTACTGGGAATATTCTGATAAACAGAACAATGCCTTTCCGTTTCTTTGTAGTAACTTTTGTATCTTCTATTGCTTTTAATTGTTCGACCTTGACCACGGAACAGTAGAAGCATTAATTATTCAACTCAAGAACATAAACAGTATAGTAGAAAAATGGTTACAATACCATAAATCGTTGGAAGATGTTAATACACTGGGCTCTCACTTGTTTCATTACTTTCACAAAAAACTCTTGACTTGTCTTTTCGTATTCCTGTATGTATTTCTCAATACGTGCAATCATTCCTACACATTGACTAGAACCACAATTGATTAGGGGAATGAAGCCGTGTCTCCATGTGTTGCAAGAGTTTCTCATACTCACATATTGTCATGTTTACAGCCATATTCAATAAAGCTGCTTAACTCTTCCGCTAGAAATCCAAAAATCTTCTCCATATGCTCTCTGCATCAAATACGTATTTTAATTATTTAACAGATACTAGCAAGTTCAAATTTGAAGGGTAAATCTTTGCATACAGTAGTTTTCTCTGAGCTTTTACATCTTTGATGACTTCACGAGTTGTATTTAGCTCTTTTGGATGCCAACTAGCAAGTTCTGCGCGATCTTGGAATGATTTTGGACCTTTTGATCCAATATGGAAAAAGTCAGATATAAAGTTTTGCTCACGAATTATGAGAGGGATAAGAGTCAGCAGTATTTGTTCAAATGCCTACGCCCATAGAGTTAAATACGTCAAAGAATGATCATACAATTAAATCACTGATAATGAGAAATGATTATTGGATACTAACTTCTTCAGGGGGGAGTTTTCCCCTACCAGAGTCCTTGAATTCCCATGGCGCGCGGCCATGATCAGCCGAACCATAAATGAGACTACTTCTGTGATGTCCTTGTATCAGAGCAGCGCTAAAGGCTTTGTTACCAAAAAAATTTAGCTGCTTGATATATTAGAGATATAACTGTTTATCTCGACATAATCAAAATTATTAACCATAAGTTGCTTCCTCTGATATTTCTCTCTTTGATAACAGTGAGCGTATCTGCATCAAGTATTCCTTTGATTCTTTTCGATAGATTGGTTCCACCGAAACAACGTACGCCTTTACATAGGAAGCAAGACGGTTAGAACTGAAGTCTTAAAATACAATTCTTATCGAGAAAGCGGGCATGCTGACACATACCAACTGTAACTCGTTATGTTTCCTTGGGTCTATTTCTTTAAGCCAGAGTGATAAACTCATGTACCTAGACAAGACTTCTTCTATACTCTCGTGCCCTAATATAGTCATGCTATCCCGACGAGGCTCTCTTGTTTTATCGTTCATCAGAACATCTGCCTAAGACAAATTATCATTGAAACCTATTTCATTTAATGCAAAATATAAAAAGAGCTTGTGGTTCCATGTCGAATTAGTACTCTTACTTGATACTTAATTGCCTGTTTCGTGAATTCACAGAAATTTACACAAAATTGGTTGCTGTATTTCGTGTATAATCCCATCTTTTCCTTGACTGCTGCCATTCCACGCGTTGCTGGATTACCAAAAGCAAGTTAGTTTCAGGTCCAATTTAAGTTAAAATTTGAGACATTCAGTACCAATCAGCTATAGCTTATACGAAACGCGAGATTAACTTACATTCGTCATAAGATGTTAATAAAGCCTTTTGCAAGATATCTGCAGCTGCTTCAATTTTTTGTACACCTTGTACGGTGTTTAATGATTCACCAAGCAATGTTTGTAGTACTTGGTCTGATATAGTAATTAAGTTCTACAGAGTTGTGCAGAATGCATTCGTTTGTTTGAGTTAGAAGAAAAATGCATTTTTCATGATTCACCCCAAATTAGTCCCTATACAAGATAGATACATTACAATTAATCGATCCAAGTCCGTTAGCAAAGCTTTCTGGTTAGCTGTCTCAACTTGTAAACCTCGGTTTTGAGATTCAATATGATGGATTTCATCACCCATGCTCTAGAATGAAAGGTTCGGGTCCGTGAGAATTTTAAGTTAACGATCACGCAATTCATATGAAAAAGGCGACTCACATTAAGTTCAGTTGTATACAAGGTGAGCATACTATCCATATTATCCAATTCACTGATGGCTTTATCCAACTGTCTGATTACGGAATTAAGCCTATCATCTGATTCTACCATAGCATGTATATTTGCCTGTACGAACAAAAAGTTTAGATACGAGGCATTAGAAAATACGTTCTTTGATTTAGCTTGTGACTCTCCTCGCAACTGATTTAGACTCACAGATTCCAGGGCTGCAAGCTCATCCAGTAGTCTCTCTTCCAATGCAGCAGCATTGCCAGCTTCCTTCCAATCAAAATCGTTTAAAAGCTCCTCAACGTTCGCCAAAGATATTTCTTCCTGTTTAACATCTAGCAGGTTAAATTAAAGAATCCGGTGGCATAATTCAAAAAATTAGTCTACTAACTGGAATTGACGATAAGTTTTGTCAGGGTAATGTACCTTCATCTATTGCATAATTCATAATGCTATTCGACTCGCTGGCGTTGGCTCCAGCTAACAAAGAGGGCGTCGATCTATCATTCTTGGCAAGGTTACGGAGACCCGAATCGAAACTACGAAAACTAGTAGTTGAATTCGCATTTGCGAGCTTCTCCTGTAAAGATAAGGCCATTGCAAATTCATCCGATTGAGTTTGTTCCTCTGTAATTGCATTGTTATGAGTAATTAGTCAGCTTTCTACCGAAAAACAGAGAATGGTACTAGAGCAGTAAATCATAGGCAGAGCAAGTTTTATACCTATCCAAAAGTCTTCGCAGCTGGCAAGTCTTGGCAGTTGATTAGTGAACTTTCTGTAGACCTAGTAAAATTGTACCAGACCGTTTGTCGACATCATCGATTGTTGGCATTACATTATCATTTGATCACGTACCTGTACCAAATTATATAAGAATGCTTGTTTATCATATGGGGTATCCGTTGACCAGCAGTAAGCTTTATTCAAAGTCACAACGAATGTCGTTGGCTGTGCATATAAGAGTAAAGTTTCTAAACGTAAATCAAATCCATACATATTGATCAAACCTGTGAAAACCAATTCAAACTTACGTTTATTCCTTCAATAGCACGGAGCTGCTCTAAAGGCCATGATTGTCCAATAGAAAACTTATTTTCGAACTTTCTTGACTTGTAGAGATGGAATGCTCCATCATATCTTTCTGTTCGAAAATAGACAACAATAAGCTTATAACTACTTAATAAATATAAACCACCAACTGTGGAAGCTACAAACCTGCTACCAGTAAATACCGACATTTTGTCTCAGCCTTGCTAGGCCGAAGACGTGATTTACCCTGTTGTGCGTGACTTGATGCATCCTCATACACTTTTGCATGTGCCAGCAGGTTCTCGTATAGAATTGCATACCCTATCAGATCGGATTGTCAGTGCCAATACTGTTAACCACCAGTCACATCTGCAATTTGCATCATACCTGGGTTTTTAGGATCTTCGACCTGCTTACGAAATAGCGAATTAACTATTAAATGTCTAATCTGTTCCTGCCTGCCGTCGGCCATGGTGTCTCCTTTTGAAGGATTAACATATTATAGTTCGACCTGTTAGTTTCACTCTCCTAAACGTAAACTAACAGACGGTCAGGGTTGTGACAGTCATTTGATTTTTGGCGGGTCGACATTTTTGCGTGTACAAACGAAAATTTGGCTTTAGAAGCCTTATGTACGTGTTTCTTCTTGGTGCCTTTCTTTCGTTTGGAGTCGGCTATATTGCCCGTAACCTCGATCTCGTCAATAGATTTTACGAAAGTTTTAGCAACATATCCTCAACGACTCATAAGGTTTGTACTCGGCTCTTATCTGTGAAGCCAGAATGCTCAAGATCAACTAAGTATTCTGTAACCGATCCTGCAAGATCCTTGTTTGCGCGCAGCAGAGCTAATTGGCCTCTCGTTCGTGTTTTCATGTAGCAGTATCTGCTAGCTGTGCTTTTGATTCTAAGTCTTCTTTTCCTGGCGATTCTCATACCTCTTTATCGCATAGTCGAATACGAATCGAAATCGGTTAGTGTAATTGCCCGATCTTTTGAGTGACTATGGATAAATTTAACATCAGTATGCATCAAACAATTTAGACGAACGGATATCCGTATAGGACTTCAGCAAGAGAACACTTGAAGAGACGAGGCAGTTTCTAAATGGTCAGTATCGCTGTTGTAATTGACGAAATGAATCGTACGTCATCTGTAACGGCTGATTTACTTGAATGCAGAGAATTGACATAATCGTCGTCAATAAATAAAAACAATGAAACCATCTAGCGCAGTGTCAAAGATTTTCTGGCCTATCCAAGTTTGTTCATCGCGAACATATCCTGGTTTTCTTGTAGGCTGGAATGTTAGAAGCTTTACTATTTGCGTAGCTGGTGTGATTTCAAACGTAAAGGTACTTAATTTGCGTGTTTTGACGTTCGCGTGGGTTTATTCACGCGATTTAATCCTCATATCTTAATTATTTTAACCGTAAGCTTGAAGATCTAGATGCGGCGATTTCAGCACTGAAAAGCAAACGTTACCCGTTGTTTGCTTCCATGGATGATGTGTGGGGAGCTCCTCCTACTGTTCTTGGTGTGTTGACCGTGGATGGCATCGAGAATCAAGCTGACTCTGAGAGCATTCTTAATTCGGAAGGTGAGTCAAGTATGAAGTGTTTGTTGGTGAATGCGTGTCTAGACAACATTAGAATAGATTTTACTTTATAAACTGTATTAATAGCCCTGGTTGGCCATTGCTATATTAAGTATTTTTTGTTGAATGTGCACTTATGTAATTGGCATGTTTCTTGCCCGCCAATATAAATATCCAAGCTGTCAGAGCAAGAAAGCCGACAGCAGAATTATGGATGACCACACATCTGCGAAGTAATAAGATTCCAACTTTGAGGTTTGTCTTCTCTTCTTTTGCTCTAATTCTGACTTTACTGTTGAAAAGAAATTCCTGAAAGGCCTATCCTATAAAGATCTATATATTGCTGCGGCTATTGCTATGCAGATGTCAGCTCGGAGATAATATTTTACAAACGGCCGAATCCTATTCGATTACAGTATCTTTCGCTTGAATCCTTGGTGTTGGACATATCTAAAGACCCAACACCGAAAATTGACTGTGAATCAATTACTGTGAAGAATTTGAAAAAAGTTTTGACTACAAGAATTAGTTCAACAGGAAAGCAAAGAGCGCGGATGAATGACATGGATTTAATTTTGAATCAGGTAGTGAAAAAGTAGCACGTTGATATAACCTCATTATGGACATTCCTGTATTTATGTTACTCATTAGTCCGTACTGACCCAATAATCGTATATAATAGATAAACTCGTCATATATAATAGAAAGAACAATTCGTGGTCACTGCCAAGTCTTTCCAAGTCATCGCAATAATCGCACAAATTTATTGGAAGTTATAAAGCGGTCAGCCGTAAAACTAGGCATATTTCTTACGAAATGCTTATTTTATCCTGTCCGTTGTATTACTTCGTTACTTCGATTCACACTCGCATATCCTCTTATTGGTATAATCATCGTCGTAAGAGTATTTGCAGAAGTCGTTCTGTGGTTATTGAATTTACGTTTTGCTCATTGGCTGGGAAACAGTATTGCCTTGAAAGATTTATCAGCAACAGGTGGACAATGTTTGCGTTAATAGTTATAAGTGATGCTCACGTGGCTGACATTGTATTCAATATATTAGCTCAGCAATTAGATTTACGATTGCAACAAGCGTGTTTCTGGCCATGGCAGTATACTTTAGTAAGGAGACGAGATCTCGCGAACATCGCGACTACGCGGGCTCAGTATATCAGGTTAGGTTTATTTTACTATTCTAATCTCTTCCAGCGACTCGTTTACACCATGTTGCTAATACATCACTTGCACAGCTTCTACAATAGCATGTGGCTAGTTGCAAACGATATAATAATCGGGGTTGCGATAGGATCTTACCTAAGAAATAATAGCGAATATATGGCGAAATTAATAGTAAATGACTATTTGGGTGTAAGTATGAGGTCGACGCAAATTCTGACGAAATGGCTAAGGCGGCATTTTTGCATCGAGTTTGCTGTTAACAAAGCATATTGACATTATGGGTATTATTTAAGCCATTTCTTTATTGTTATTATCGCTTAGTATTATACTATATTCAAATTGGAAGAAATGATAAGATGGTTAATGGGTTGGCCGGCTGGTCTGAAATTGAATAGTGAGCTTGATAAATTTTTGGGCGAGCTATTTCGATGGCTTATACAGTTATGGACCGGTTTGTCACATTTCATTATCTCTATATCGATTCTCATTAATTATTTTATATCGCCGCAACGTTTTTATCTATTCAACAATTTAGGATGTGTTGTAAATATCGAACCATATACTCCATTGATAATAGAAGTAATCGGGTTATCGGGAATGTTGGGAGCATCGATGGTTGTGTCGATGCTTTCTGACTTCCTGACATTTATGACAATTCATATTTATTGGTTTTACGTAGTAGCAGCGAGAATATATAACTGGCAGCTTACAATACTTTATTCATTATTTAATCTATTTCAAGGTAGGGAATAACAGTTTTGTAAAAGTGGTGTATGATAACTTTCTGATCATGGCCAACACGTAGGCAAAAAGAGGAACACACTTCGAAACAGGATCGACGCATGCGATTATGATCTTGATCAACTGTTACTTGGAACAATTCTCTTTACTCTCCTGACTTTTCTATTCCCAACTGTACTTGTTTATTATGCTACTTTTGCTACGGTGAGTTTCGGAAACGTTTGGTTGCACAGATGCTTCTAACGTATTAACGATAGATGTCGTGTACAGAGTAGGGTAGGGATAATTTTCTTGCAAGCGGTGATGGAGGCACTCCTGGCTTTCCTCAATCACTTCCCGTTATTTGCCATTATGCTTCGCTTCAAGGATCCAGATCGCTTACCTGGTAAGCTCAAAATAGTGTTTAGTTTCGTTTAAAAACTCAAACCTAAAATACTTACGTTATTCATAACAAAGGAGGATTACGGTTCGAAACGTGCGATTCCTACTATTTCACCACATATAAAACATCATTAGCAAGAGTATTTCGTGTATTGAAGTATTTCTTGCCATGGAGTAACACAATTCGGAAATATGAGAACAACCGCGCATCCAGAATTGTCGAACCTGTTCCTTCTTCATCAAAGGAATATCTGCAGCAAATTCGAGGAATGGATGGCGAGAAAGGAGACAATGTTATTCGTATAAGAAAGAACCGAACAGACTTGGTGGATGGACAATGGTATGCAACTGTTCCTCCGTCTCCCACTGAACAGAAATCGAGGCCTAGCGTATCAGATCCACCCAGGGTCAGCTACCTCATAATGAGAAACCTGCCCATTCCATTAGCTGCTATTTTTTTCCAATATATGCTTCTATGGAAGAGGCTGAGTTCTCATTATTTCTCATTCTATGTGCTGAAGTGCCTTGTCAGCGGTGAAACCATTAGGCCGATTCCTCGGCTTCAATATCCAATGTTGCCAGAAACGAGGTTGGTCTTTCAAGAGGAGAGTGATAATTAATTTTCGTGCAATGTCATTTATTAACATACATTTTTATCTTCGAGGCCACCTTTGAGGCAGTTAATTGACAGACTTTGTGATCAAGAAGAACCGACAATATAACCCTTATTCAACTATATGATAACTTTTCGTTTATTATTGGCTACTTATCATCGTAAAGTATTGTCTTAGAGCATCTGAAAGCGTTTCAGTTAGAGCATTAATATCCCGTAGAACTACATAATAATCAAATGGAAAAGTGTCCAAATATCTTTCCATCTGCAGAACCATGCTTCCGTTTATCATTTTATACTTGACATGATTCATAGATATAATCGAATCCTTTTCTCCCTTATTGTCTACAATAATGAATACTGTCATTATTTGAGATTCAGCAGCTCTTCGAACAAGACTACGTAGAGCAGTGTGATCCTCACAGACGCCATCTGAGATAATTAGTAACAATTGCCACAATTCAGAATTTCGTGATCCTTGACAAGTTGTCCTTGCATGTTCCAATAGAGAAATCGCCGTCTCCATAAATGATTTCACATAAGTCTTTCCCTGATCAAAAGTAAATTGCTGTAGCACTTGAGCCCCAGTCTCGCTTGTAAATGGCTGATCGAATGGATGGAGTAATTGGACACGCTCGCCAAAGCTGACAATAGAGATATCGCCGACTTCTAATTGAGACAACGCACGAGAGATTAAAGCCAGCGTCTCATACGCGAGCTGAATAGAATGAGATTCGCACATAGACTTCGAGTCGTCCACTGCAATCATCACTTGATATTGTCTTTTATTACATTTAGTACGCCGTAGCCATATTTTATCCTTCTTGAAATCGGAAGCAATGTATGGAATGATTCGTTTCATGTTCAACCGTTTACCAGTCCGATAGTCACCCTTTAATCGCGCTGCAAGTGTTGGTTCTAAAATTAATCGCAACTGTTCGCACAGACCGTATGCCAAATCGTACGTTATATGTTCATATTTCTGCCATAACTCACGAGCTTTACTTATATCGCGACCATTTTCTCGCCATTCACTAAGCCTCGTTTCTAACTCTTGGCGCATTTGGTCAACTTCCTCTTGCGGTAACGGTTTATGAGAAAGTTGAATAGATTCGAGTGTTTGCAAGGCTGTTTCATAGTCATGGTCCATCGTTTCGTTGAGTTCGTTTGTACAGTGACTGAGAATAGCTCCAGTTTGCTGTTGAACGTCCGATGGCAATCTCTCCTTGTAGGGAGTTTCGCTCTTTTGTATAACATCTTCGTTATTATCAGATTCGTCAACAGCATATTCAAATTTGTTTTCATCGATCTTTATATCTTCATCGATAGCCCCTGTTTGAGCATCAAGTGATTTGACTTGATCTTCAGCCGCTGTTCCTAAGGCTTGGGTATCATATGCTGTTTCATCGTCTCGAATATACTCAAATGCTTGATTTTCGTTGTCTTGTAGCTGCGGTATGGCCTCATCTCGTCCTTGCTCGCTCTCATTAGTATTATTTGACTCTTCCCCATCAGTAATACCTTGAAGTCGGCGGCGCCATTCTGCCAATGCATCACCTAAACTCCTACGAGGATTAGCATTTCCTTGTTTGTGCTTACGCTCTTCTTTATCTTGAATATTGTTATAACCTCTTGTGTCGCCTTGATCTTGCGAAGGAGTCTGCTCAAGCTGTTCTTCATTTGTTGTTGTCTGGCGAGTTTCGGATGGCAGCACTGATTGATCCTGAAAATTTGGCTGATTTGGTGTCTCGCTATTATAACCTCTTGTAATGCCTTGATCTTGTGAAGGAGTCTGCTCAAGCTGTTCTTCATTTGCTGTTGTCTGGCGAGTTTCGGATGGCAGCACAGATTGGTCATGAAAATTTGGCTGATTTGGTGTCTCGCCTTCGCCGCCAGTCTCTAAAATTTCATCCTCAATTCCACTACATTTATTAAATTCATCCGTTACGTCTTCAGTATCCATTGGATCCAATTGATCTTGCACAGATTGAGTCTCTTCAAAGTCATTGTCTGACTGAAACTTTTGTTCATCATCGATATCCATATTTTCGAAATCATTTTCCTCGTCCGCTTGTTTATCATCCATGTCGTTTAGATCACCATCCATATCATCGAGATTCATGTCATCCGGTAAGTCTAAAGTTTCAGCCTCTGGTACTTCAATGTCAACCGAATCTGTCTGTGCAACATCTTTTCCATCAACCTCATTAGCAGAATCCTCGTTTTCCGCCTGTTCATCAATTTGAGGCGATAGGGCCTGATCGGGTTGATCAGGTTGATCCTTCCGTTCTTTCTTTTGCTTATCTTCGGATTTCGACTTGTCATCTGAATTTTTGGCAACAATATCTGTCTCGTTATTCTCACAAGTGTTCATATCGTTAGCAGTTTTATCACTTTCATCAAGGCCATCTACTGATTTGTCATCCCACATTTTTTCATCAACAACGTCTGGGTCAGCATTGTCGAGTTTTCCGATTTCTTCATCAAAGTCTTCATTCTCGTCTGCATCTTCGTCTTCGTCTTCGTCTTCTCTATTGTCATCAGCAGTCTGATCAATGTCTTCTACTGTACCCTCGAAATCGTTCTCCATCTCCATACCCTTATTTTTGTCGTCTTCATTTTTCGCTTTATTGCCTGAATCTGGCTCGTTCTGTTGATCTTGCGTACCTAACACTTGTTCCTCATCTTCAATTTCGTCACTAACATCTTTAGTACCTTCACCTTCACCTATACCAGTTCCCTGGGCATTCTCTTCCGTGCCACCTTCCTCAGCGACTTCGGTTTCCATATTTGGCATGCAAAAACCTCGTGAAAAGATGACAGTGAACGAGCTTACCAGAACGTATGTTAACTTGCAAATCGATTTGTGATGTACAAGATTGCACAATAGCTTATACTGCATGATAAGAACGTATTGGTGAACGAATGGGTAAACTCTCTGCAATAAGCGGACAGCGAGTTCTCTGCAAGTCGTACTTCTGAACCATTCTTCTTTACTATTCATCAGCGTATCAAGAAATTCATAAACGCGTTCTGACTTTTTGAAAATATTTCCAGGATTCAGTTCTTTGAATGCTTCAAGAAAGTGATTGTGTTCTTGTCGCAGATGACCATCAGCCATTTGCACAAAAGTGTCTTCTGCTTCATCCATACTATCTGGTAACTGATCATTCGAGGCTTTGTGTTTAAGTTGAGCAGACTTATGTAATTCTTGAACTGCTACTAGTATTCCATCGATAAAGTCGGCTGTTGCTTCCAGTAAAGGTGTGATAACGGTCTCCTCCAGTTGTATATTTTCTTTAAAATCTTCGACAGAGGTGTGTGTGAAGATTTTATAATCCTTTGAGGCAATAAAGTCAGAAATGGGTGACATAATGTATTTAAATTGGGGAGTCTGTCGATATGAATCGGTGAGGAATGAACTAAGTGATTTAATTGTCTCTACATCTTCTTGCACTATGACTTGCAAGTCCTCTAAAACTAATGGCTTGCTTCCAACTATATGTTTTGGAATCAGATAAGTTTCTGTATAAATCTTATTGAATCTATCTCTCGCTTTTTGAATTCGTTCAAGCCAATCCTTCAACTGTTTGATAAAATCAATCTCATTACTAGTCAGCGATTCTACTCCTTCTTTTTGGCAATTGACAATAAGGTACGCATTCGAAAATAAAGCAACAAGATCATCCAACGTCTCGCTGTGAACCTTCAAAGCATCACCAGCCATATTCGATGGCAAGACTTCCAAGTCCACGATATTGCGTTTAGGGCTCTGTAAATCGTCAAATGTCGAAGACAGATGCTTGAGTTGCATCAGCATCCCTATCAATCGTGTGTATTGTTGTTCAAAAATGTGTAAAGCTTTCCTTTCAATCACAATTAGATGTAATAAGTGTTCAGCGAAACCAAGACCTTTCGTAACTTCTTGCGAAGTCAGATCTTTGGATGGATTTGTATTAGCAATAGTACGAAGGTGAGTCATACGTGCAATTATTTTATAATAATAATCGACAGACTTTGACCATAACGACATCGCTGAGTCAACATCTGGCAGAAGCGCTTTCCTTGCAAAAGCTCTAAACGAATATTCTAATTCAACACAAGGAAGTTGCAACATATATCCAACGAGATCCTGTTGTTTCTGAGCTAGCTTCTTTGCAAAATGATTAAGGCCAATTCGTTTAAGTTCTCTTAAAAGGTCAACAAGGGATTTTTTCTTTACCATCTTTTGACTTTTGACTGAGCTCTTGTTATCTTCTTTCATAACCGCTGAAGTTTCTTCCTGGAGGGTTTTAATGCGTTGTATTACATATGTTGCGAATTCGTCTATTGCTTTGGTATTTGCTACCCCTCTTGGGCTAGTCAGAAGAAGACAGTAGGATTGAAGCCGTGTGAAAGTATGGCTAATGTTTACAAAACGAGAAGGCAATTTTGTAAATCGTTTAACGTCAAATTTACCGAAATGAAGAGAGTCAGATGCTGAGAAGTTCAAGATCCATGCATCAGCAGTTCGTGACTGCATAATAAATTGCTTATCTTTGATGGCTGTTGATTGAGCGGTATCAATATCATTCTGATACACAGCAATTACGATTGTAATAGGTTTTTCAAGAACTTCCCTGTATTTACGAATACACTTGTGCAATTGCCGGTGTGTTTTCTGTGCACTCTGCTTTAGGGCGTGGATGTTGACGTCTTTCCAGCTAGCCAACTTGACAAAATCTTTGAGCTCCTTTTCAATTGGTTTACGCAAAATTCCCAAAGTATCGTTCCGTTGATTTAAAAACTGACAATAATAATTATGCATACTTAATAGTGAATCGCATGCTCTTTCGATCAACGCAGACGCGGCACCGTGTACATAAACCTTTGCTCGTAGATGCAAGTAAAAAGAGTAGACTAGATTTAATCGAGCATGAAAATCACCCAGTTTGGACGATTGCAAGAATTCATCAAGTATCTCCAAGACTTTCGTTATGTGTTCTTTAAAGGCCACTTCATCCAGGATATCTCCATTAAATTTGTCAATGGGTCGCAGGACGCTGTTGTACAAATGGAACCACCATTTATACACCGACAATTCATTGTATACTTCTTGGGAGGCTAAAA